TTGCGTCAGCGAGTCACATGACTGGTGTGACGCCACGTTTCTAGAACTATCCCGTATCTTGGCGAATGCTCTAGTATTTACTAGATGGAGGGTAGACTGGTATATAAAAGAGGGGTACAACGTGACGCGGGAATGTAATGTGTGTGTAGACAGTGAGTAATTGAACTGCAGTCACGGGGTATTGTTGAAGTTAACGTTCGTTCGTTCGTGATACTGTTTGTTTTAGCGCGAATATTGAGATTAAGTGTATCCAGAGTTATATTTGGAAAGAATAAACCATTATTAAGTAAATACTTGTGTCGCTAAAGTTTCGTCGGAACGAAGTTACGGAAAGTTAATTAACAAACGGAGACGTAACAATATTTATTACTGTTAATTTTGGTTTTATTTACTCTTGAAACAGAAACCCTGCTGAAGTACATCAAGTTTGTACTCCACATGGAAGATCAATAGCTTAGCTTGTAAAATATACATGATGGTAGATACATTCAAACTAAATGCATTCTGTTTACTGAAACCTCTCGCTTCGTACAGCCCGGCATGGCCAGATGGTTAGGGCGCTCGACTCGCAATCCTCGTCCCACCAAACATGCTCGCCCTTTCAGCCGTGGGGGTGTTATAATGTGAGGGTCAATCCCACTATTCGTTGGTAAAAGAGTAACCTATGTACACACTAAGTTATAGCTACTACAAAAAATAATATAATAATAGATTGATATGATGACATTATCAAATTCAAAACCATTTTGAATGAATTTTTCCGATTTTTTAAAATATTAATTTCACCTAACATGGGAAAATAAGAAAGAGATGAAATATTTGAAACTGCTCACATGATTTCATCACATAACATTCTCTCCAGTAAAGCAGCGATAACAATGTACGTAATTTCATCAATGACTGTCTCTTCTGTCCAACCTGCCAACGTCTGTAGCTTGTTCATGGTCTCGGACGAGAACAAACGACCAAAACTATCTTCAAGTGCTGCTTGGAGATGCTATAGAAATAAAAAAACTATAAACCAGAGTACTGATGAGTGTTACTGTACGTGGTTTTATTACCATTTTGGAATTATGGCTACAATTCAAATTATCATAGTATTTTGTTTTGACAGGAATATTATTCTAACAAAGTAGTCAATGCTTGGTAAGTGCAAGCATTAAGTTAGAGTCATTAATAAATTACAGTCTGGTATTTAAGCTTGTACTAGTTGTAGGTTGTTCATTAAACGTTTCATAATAATTAGACTAAGCACGTAAATGTTTAACTTTTTTTGGAAACATTTTCAATAAACTTTTGTTCAAAACATATCTGATTTCTGCAAAACTACCAAAACAAAAACTGGGCTATATCACTTTACTCACATGAGGCTTAAGGCTATCCTCGATGTTAATTTTACAGTGTTTATTATACACTTTCCTGGAAGACTGTCTTTTTACCGGATCCACTTTACAATATTGTACCAAGTACGTCAATGGATTGAGAGCTACAGAATGTAATTGGTCAGCAAAGTTAGAATATTTTATTATCATTAATCACAGATACATTCTAAAATTGATATCAGGTTTTTTATGTAGAAGAATTATTTGTATGTGAAAAGGGCGATTTTTTATTTTATTTTCAATTTGAACTAATGTGTCATCACAATTGATACTGTTATGTCTCTGTTCGTTTGTTAATTTCCCGTAGAAATCCTTTCCGAGAAACTTCAGCGATACCAGTCCTTTCTTAAATAAAACTAGTTTATTCTTTCTCAATATAACTTTGCAATACACAGAATTTCCACAGTCACTTTAACTTAAACACACACTATAATTCACAACAATTGACGCACTTTACTTACGGTCACTACCGCTCACTTGACTCAATTATCTGTCTCAAAATCTATCTGCAATTATATCTCTGCTTTATTTGCCGGGCTTATATACTAAAATAGAGGGCGCCTAGAAAAGACTAGAGTTGCCAGGAGCAGTCATGATCCTTCTAGAAACTCCAGCGTCACATGACTTCCGCTGTCGTAACAATACTTTGAAAAGCATAATACTTCGGTTGCATACATTTTATTGTTGTAAACTATATTTTCGCTCTAAAGGGAGCCAAAGTTTTAACTACTCGCACCGTGATACAGTCAGTGTGTTGTCTGTCAATCAGTGAGTAGACAATAAAATGACGTGTCATAAGGGACGCTCAACGTTTCAATTTGTACTGTCATGACGTCAGCAAACGTGCACATACCATGAATCACAGCATGAGATATAAACTTCAAAAGAAAGAAAAAAATAATTTGTTATTCTTAATTTTGGTTTGTTTAGTCTTGGAACAGAACATTTTCGGGGAACCTGCGGAAATAGATCTAGTTTTAAAATTTTAATTTATATGTTGGTTTGCTAGAGGGAGCTAATCATGATAACGATGTAATGACCAAAAAGTTTAGTGTAGTAAATAGAAAACGAGAATGATCTAAGTTCTAGAGTGAGTAAGTCAGTAATCAGTGAATTCATGAGTAACCACTGAGATTATCAGTTTAGTGTATGTTATTGTAAGTGAATTAGAAAATGAGAGTTATTACGTTTATTATTCAGCAAATTAGTCAGCGTGTCTCTTATTGATCCAGCAGGGAAAAAATTCTGCATATAAGTAAGATTATTTATGAGTTAAGAATCCATTAGTATCGAAATTCCTGTTGAAACGTTCTTTCTGTAGTTAGGCCTACCAGTGAACTAGTCTGTAGCAAACGTTACAGAAGAAATAAATTAATTTATTAGCATTACGTGAAATGGACTTTGCATTATTTTTACGAAATAATTCAAGAGAACCTACCCAATGACAGAATTCGTTACAACAATATAAATAAAGAATGTTGAATTGTTAATAAATAACAGCAAGAGCTGTTTTGTGAACAATAATAACCTCACATTGTTAGAAGGAACGTTGAAAGCTGCTTGTGAACAATTAAAGACCCACATTGTTAGAAAGAACGACACGATATATTTTGAACAATAAGAAACTGAATATTGTTGAAAAACAATAAAAATCCTCACATTTCTAGAAAGGATATTTGTGGACAATAAAATAAAGTAACATTGTTAAAAATACTGTTTGTGAATAACAAGAAAACAAAAATTGTTTGTGAATAATAAGAAAACAAACATTGTGAGAAAGAATGATAAAAACTGTTGCGAACAAGTATTGTTATAAACAGTGATTAAAAACTGTTGTCTGGTATATAAAAGAGGGTAATGTAATGTGTGGGTGGATAGTGTGTAATTGATCTGCAGTCAGAAGTATTATTGACGTTCGTTGATATAGCGTTTGTTTTAGCGCGATTGTTGAAGTTGAGTGGTTCGGTAAAGTTATATTCGGAAAGAATAAACCAGTTTTATTAAGTAAAGACTTGTGTCGCTTGAGTTTCGTCGGAACGAAGTTACGGAAAATCAATTAACAAACGGAGACGTAACAATTCTTTCTAGCAATGCACGATTGTTCACAATATTTTTATGATTGTTTATAAGAATGCGATGTTTCTTATTGTTTACAACAGTTTTTGTCATTGTTTATAAGAATGCGAGATTCCTTATTACTTCCCTACCCTATATCTAGTAAGAACTAGAACATTCGCCAAAGTACATGATAGTTCTAGAAACGTTGCGTCACAGTAGTCATGTGACTCGATGACGCAACAATATGCTTCTCCGTTGTAGTCCAGCATTAGTGATGTATGAGATATTCTCAATAAATCAAAACGAACAATCAGTGTATATCCATATTCCACCTATACTTATATTAACGGGGTAGTTCATTATAACTAATAGCCAATTATTAATGTTTTCACTTGAAAATATCTCGCTTAAAAAGGAAACGTTGTATGATACGATATTAATAAATGCATTTCAGATACTGTGTTTCTTTTTATTATTTATTCTGTATTCGGCGTTGTTAATACACGATATGCAAAATGTGAATAATTGTAGGTCTAAATCTAGCAAATTATAAAGATAGTTTGAACAATTTAGTTTCGAGATATGAATATTGTTACGACAATGGAAGTCACGCATGGGCTGGGAGCATGCGCACTGGAGTTTCTAGAAGGATCATGACTTTTCCTGGCAACTCTAGTCTGTTCCAGGCGCCCTCTTTTTTTAGTATATAAGCCCGGCAAATAAAGCGGAGATATAATTGCAGATAGATAGATATAGAGACAGATAATTGAGTCAAGCAAGCGGTAGTAACGGTAATATAAAGTGTGTGTTTTGTTTGTTTTGGTTTTTAGTTATGCACAAAGCTACACAAGGGCTATCTGTGCTCTGCCCATCACGGGTATCGAAACCCGGTTTCTAGCGTTGTAAGTCCGCAGACATACCGCTGTGCCACTAGGGGGCCTGTGTGTTTTGTTATTGAGATTGCAAACGTATTGACTGAGGAAATTCTGTGTATTGTAAATTTGTATCGAGAAAGAATAAACTAGTTTTAATTAAGAAAGGAC